TAACGCTAGTGCTGAGGACAGAGACAAGTGGAGCTCAGTGATTCACTGGCCAGCCAGGTAGACAAAAACGACAGGCTCCAGGTTCAGTGAGAGACCATGTCCCAAAACAAACAAACAAACAAACAAACAAACAAACAAACAGACAGACAGACAAACAAACAAACAAACAAGGTGGAGAGCAATAGAGGAAGACAGAGCCGGCTTCTGGCTCCCACACGCACATGCACGAGTGAGCACACCTGCAAATCACATTCATACCTCCTTACCGTTAGCATGGGGCAGGAACACTTTGGAGCATATTCAGTTTGTTTCATAAAGATGATGGACAGAAACATCTCTGGAAATGTCCAGTCTTCCACACACACACACACACACACACACACACACACACACACACACACACAAAAGTTTCAGCTGTAAAAAGGGAGAGAGCTCCTTGAAGATGTGTTCATCTAGGAGTCTGCTTCTCACGGAGCTCGTCTCACTTCTCTGCTAACGCTGCTAGCAGCGAAACTCAGGAAGACAATCAACAAGGACACCAAATAGGAAAGCTGCTGTTGAGTCTGTTTTTCCTGCTGAGTTGCAGAATGAACTGAGCGGTTTGCTGTCTTTCTCCCTCTCGCCTCCTGCTTGGCTGAGACATGAAGTTATGAGAAACTGCTTTGTCCTTTGAATTCTTCTCGACGTTTGAATATGTGGTTAATGTCCTCCCCGTTGTGGAATATTATCTCAACTGGGCAAAGATGTGTTATATTTGTTTATGCTGTGGAATATTACTTTAACTACATAAAGGTGAGTTACTGTTTGTTTCTGCTGCCTTTGTTTACAATGGAAAGATGTGTTACATTTGTTTATGCTGTGGAATATTACTTTAACTACATAAAGGTGCGTTACATTTGTTTCTGCTGCCTTTGTTTACAATAGAAAGATATGTTACATTTGTTCCTGCTGCAACTGTTGAATGACTTAAGGATATGTTGAGTTTGTTTCCCCTTGCCTGCCTAAAGCATCTGATTGGTCTAATAGAAAGCTGAACGACCAATAGTTAGAGAGGAGAGGGATAGATGGGGCTGGCAGGCAGAGTGAATACGCAGGGGGAGAAGAAGAAGAGAGGAGAGAACGAGGAAGAAATAGAAGGACATGCCTGGGGTCAGCCAGGCAGCTGCCAGGCCACTAGACAGTTGCTAGGTTGCCGCTATGATTATACAAGCTAAGACAGTTGTATGTATTTTCACAGATATAGTTAGGATCCCTGAATAGTTGGCTTTAAGGTAATCAAAAGGTAGGTTATTCTTAGTACACCTGACTTTATCATAAATAGTTTGAAAAACATTTCTTTAAGTTTATATATTTAAAAATGTCAATGTTCTTTTTTTCTTTCTTATGCTGGGGATTGAAACTAGGGACATGGGCATGCTAGGCAAGCACTATACTACTGGTTCGTATTCTAGCCTTCTTTCTACTTCTGTTTGTGAGAGGGTCTCACTAAACGGCACAGGCTGTCCTTGAACTTGCAGTCTCCTTTAGTCTCAGGCTGAAGCCTCCTGAGCAGTTTACGTTCACAGAGCTGTGATGCCAGGCTCATCTTATTTATTTTTTTTTAAACCATGACTTACCCTATTCTTATTGTTGTTAGATAGACAAAAGTATTTTTCATCTATGCACTTGCTATAGAAAAACTGCATGTTTAGATGTATTTTGGAAACACTTCTGCTTATATGTGTCTTTAAAAATGTTTCCCATAAAATGTGTGAACGTTAATCTTTTCACCCATTGTCATCCTCATGACTTCCCCGTGTTGACATAGCTACTCCCTGATGAGCTATGGGAAGAATGGGTTCAGGAAGGATGAATGAGGGTCTGAATGAGCAAGCTTTGCCTCCTTTAGGGGTGGCAGTTTTGCTACCAGATCTTTTTTTTTTTCCCCCTGAGACAGGGTTTCTCTGTGTAGCTTTGCGCCTTTCCTGGAATTTGCTTTGGAGACCAGGCTGGCCTCGAATTCACAGAGATCCGCCTGGCTCTGTCTCCCTGAGTGCTGGGATTAAAGGCGTGTGCCACCATCGCCCGGCAACTACTGGATCTTTTAACATGGAGCCTACAAGCATGGCTTTTCCTCCCCTAAACATCATGCTATCAAACTTGTCAAACACCAGCAGACAGACAGTACTAAGAAAACAAACAAATGAACAACAACCAAAAAAAAACCAAAACAAACAAGCAAGAAAAAATTCTGCAGATCAGAGTTATGGCTGAGCATTATTTCTGAAACTACTACAGCCCTTTAAAATTGCACATTAGGGACTCAAAGGATGTTGTAAGTCCCAAGCCAAAAGCGCTGAAATCAGGACCTAACAAGTTCACAGAGCCCACACAGGGAATAAGCCGTTAACATGTGCAAAACATAATATTACATATAAACAAAGGAAGGCTGTATTTCATGAGAATGAGTAATCCAAAGGGCTCAGGTTCCAAAACCAGATGGACCGAGGCTGCTTCTCTCCAGCTTTGTTATTACCAGTTGTGCGGTCTCTCCTGGGTGATTTAACATCTGCTTACCTCCGTGTCTGTATCTGTAACCTGAGGATAACAAGGTCTTCTACACATGTGGTGAGAATTAAATACAACGTATGAAAAGCATCCACTCCAAGGACTGTCACATAATAAGCACTTGGGGAAATGGCAATTATCTTTGATTTCATGAGGCTGTGTGAGGTTGTGAATGCGAGTACTACAAGTCAAGTCACATTATGACCCCATCCCTCCCCCTCTTCCTCTCTCTCTCTCTCTCTCTCTCTCTCTCTCTCTCTCTCTCTCTCTCTCTCTCTCTTTCTGTATCTGAGGCAGATCTTGAATCCTCGTCCTCTCGACCCTTCCTGCCTTCCCCTCCTGCATTCTCAGATATTAGGCAGGTGTCCCCATACATACCACCCAATTGTCATACGCTTAGTGAAAATGCTGGGTGCACGTGCTTTTAACAAATTAAATGCTTCACTGAGTCTAAGGAAAATATATGGTTCCTGGCCCAACCCTGTGCCCCACTCTTTAGGGGCGGCAATGTCTGCTTCTTCGGCTGGGCTCTTTGCTCTAAGTTCACCTTCCTCCTTCTTTGGTTAAAACATTCGAATATTACCACGTATTGTAAAATACTCTAAAATTATGACCATGATTATAGTTATTTTCCTTCTCCCTGAAGTTAATGATGGTCTTTATTTTTTTTTTCCTAGTGTTCTTTGTAATTATCATGGATTTCCCCCTCAAACCTCTAAGAGCTTTTTGATATGATTTCCCCCAGCATCACCGAAATAGAAAGCCAACCCTCCTTATTTAGCTAAGTCTTCCTGGAAGTCAGTGTGCCATTTGCTCTCTTTCTACTTCCTCCAAATGTGGTCCATGACTCTCTAGTCCAGCTTCCCGGTTAAAAGCTGGTCTGCTGACTTGAAGGGTTTAATGTCATATAATCTAAAATGGAATGTCTTCTTTTCATTACATTTTATTTGGTGTGTGTGTGTGTGTGTGTGTGTGTGTGTGTGTGTGTGTGTAGATCAGAAGACAACTTTTGGGAGCTGGTTCTGTTCTTCCACCATGCGGGCCCTGGGGCTTGAACTTAGGTCATCAGACTTGTCAGTAAGCACCTCTACCCACTGAGATATCTCACCAGCCCTAAAACATTTATTTATTCTTGACAATGAACAATTTCACATTGTCATGATATTTGTTTGTTTGGTTGGTTTTTTTAAATTTTATAATTTAATTTAATTTTACATATCAGCCACGGATTCCCCTGTCCTCCCTCCTCCTACCCCTCCCTGCCGTCCCCCCAATCTACCCCCCATTCCCATCTCCTCCAAGGCAAGGACTCCTCTGGGGATTCAGCTCAGCCTGGTAGATTCAGTCCAGGCAGGTCCAGTCCCCTCCTCCCTTCACCCAGGCTGGGCAAAGTGTCCCAACATAGGCCCCAGCCTCCAAAAAGCCAGCTCATACACTAAGGACAGGTCTCAGTCCCAAAAGTTCAAGCTAATTGACTGTCTCACTTTTTTTTAAAAAAAAAATCCACATATATTGACTTAAAGACAAACATCACATGATCATCTCAATAGGTGATGAAAAGCCTTTGACAAACATAGTCCAACATACTGTCATGTAAGTCCTAGAGAAAGTAGGACAAGAGGAAACGTAACTCAACATAATAGAGTTATATATGAGAAACTCACAGTGTACATCATCCTAAATGGAAAAAACACTTGCAGCAATTCTACTAAAATCAAGAATGAGACAGGGCTGTTCACTATCCACATTCCTTTTCAATACTGTACTCAGAGCACTAGTTGGAGCAATATGGAAGAGAAGGAAATAAAAGAATAAAAATAGTAAAAGCAGAAGTCAAAATATAGGTTTGGGAGCCTAATCCCAGCTGATACATCTCCAACACAACTCCTACTCCTGAGACTCGGGTATCATAATAGAAGACAGGGAGTAAAGATTCTAAGAGCCAGAGGGCCAGGGATTTTGCTGTGAGGTTGTGTCTCTTAGAAATGTCAGCCACTACACCCACGAAGTCTCACCAACACGCTGCTTAAACATGATCCGAATAAGGACAACAACAATAGACAAAGGAACTGGGATGGGGAAAATCTTATGGAGCCTCAGTCCTACACAAAGAACCACAGGCAACTGAGAAACGCTGAGAATGGGAAAAACCACCTTCCCCAGGGAAGAGCACACCAATTGGATATGTAATACCAAGTGGCCGCCCTGAAAACATGTGCATATAAGTAAAGTCATACAGATTAGGCAGGTTGTATTTATGTATTTAGGAATGTGTACACATATGTGTGAATACATACACATAATACTATGATTATACATACATATATATATGAATAACAATTGTTTAATAGACAATAAAGAATTGTTTTAATAAACAATGAAAGAATACAGGCCATGGACCATTTGGCATTTCTAGGCCTGGCAGATGCTGCAGCACCAGCACAGCTCTGTCCCACGTCCCCAGACTTGGGGTGGGAAGAATTCACCCGTGAGGTCATGTTGGGCACCATTATGTTCTCTCAGCAGAATCACATTGCCAGACCAGATATCTGGGTAAAAGACTTTTGTTGGAAGCTGCATACTGTCACCTGCAAGAGAAGATGGGAACCTGTACAGCACCAATAACAATGAATGGGAGACAAAGATCCACATGCCAGTCTGGGGCTCTCTGGTCTGGGCCTGGAAGAGAAAACGCGGGCCCATTCAGTGCCTGATGGACTCTTTTATGGTAAGCAAATATATGGTGGAGTATGGAAGAGAGATTGAGAGAGGGAGAATGGTTCATGTCCTGTGGAGAGAAGCAGAACCAAAGGGGTGAAGGTGGTGAGGAGAAGGCTGAGGTGGGTGGCCTACTTGCCACCCAGGGCCATGGTGCTGTTCAGGCCTAAGCTGCAGCCAAGGGCCATGTCTGCACCTGTGACCCTGTTGCAGCCTTGGTCTGTGTTGATGTCCGTGGCTCCTGTTACCCCTGAAGGCTGAGAAGACAGGGCTGCACAGAGTTGGATCCACCCCTCACTGGCTGCAACACTAGGGAGAACTGGTCCTACCCCTCAAGGCTGCAGCACTGGAGGGAGGGAGTGGGTCCTGCACCTCACCTGGGCAGCATTGACAAAGCTGACCCTGTTGGTGGGGGTGGGGTCGACCTGGCCCTGAGGGCACGAGAGTGGGAGGCCCCCTCCCACCTCCCTTCACCCCCCCCATCTGCCATGTGGTGGTGAGGGTGAGGGAAACATACCCTCCCCTACACCCCCTCACCACCTGTGGCAGGTGGGGGAGCTTAACTAGCCCCTCACCAACTGCAGCACTAGGGAGAACAGGCCCTGCACCTCTCCTAGGCTGCATAGTGGAGCTGACCCTGTTGACGGGGATGCAGGCAAGCAAGCTGGCCCCAAGAATGTGAGCATGGGAGATCTGGCACTTTCCCTCATCTGCCATACGGTGGTGGGAACAAAGGGGAGGTGTCCTCGCCTCCCCCACCCCTCACGACCTGTGGCAGGTGGGAGAGCTGGCCCTTTCCCTCATCTGCCACCTGTGGCAGATGGGAGAGCTGGCCCTGAGGTCAGGAGAACTGGTGAGCTGGCCCAGCATCTCACCGGCTACGGCACTGGGGAAAGCAGACCCTGCACCTCACCCGGGCAACTCAGTCGAGCTGACCCTGCTGGTGATGGTGCAAGGGAGCTGACCCCAAGGGCATAAGTGTGGGAGAGCTAGCTAGCCCCACTATTCATCTGTGATGCAGTGTGGGTAGGGGAGAGATGCCCTGCCCCCTCACCTCTTGCTGCCTACAGCACTCAGGAGAGCAGGGCTTGCACCTCACCTGGGCACCATAATAGTGCTGACCCTGCTGGTAGGGGGCACAGGTGAACCTGCTATGAGGTCATGAGAGTGGGAAAACTGGCCCTGCACCCCTTGACTGCCATGTGGTAGTGAAGGAGAGGGAAAGATACCCTTCCCTTCTTGTCCCTCACTATCTGCAGTGGACAAGAGAGCCGATGCTGTCCATCAACAGCTGCAGAACTAGGGAGGGTGGGCCCTGCACCTTGCCTGGGCAACACAGTAGAGCTGACCTCATTGATGGAGGCATGTGTGAAGTGGCCCCAAGAAAGTGAGTGTGAGAGACTGAGCCCTGCTCCTCATCTACCATATGGTGGTATGGGCAAAGGAGAGAATCCTTCACCCCATGCCCCTTGAGGCCTGTGGTAGGGGGGAAATCCATCTCTGAGGTCACTAGAGTGAGAGAGATGGCCATACCTTTCACCTCAACTATGAAACACAGCAGAGCTGGTCTTGGTGGTATAGGTGTGGGTAGGCCAACCTTTAGGACAGGAGTGTAGGAGAATTGCCCCCACCCATTGCTGCTTACTACACAGGGTGAGCTAGCTGATGCAGTACTGGAGAGCTCACCCTGGTGTCAAGGATGAAGGGAAGCTGGCAGGCTGACCATCCCAGCAACTACCCAGACTCAGAGCCAGAGCTATGAATTGGCCCATCCCACCATCCACCCCATCTGTTGGAGCATGTGAAGGGATTGGTCCTGCAGACCCAAAGTTACAGGATCTCCATGACACAGGATATTCAAGAGGAGTCTCAGTGAGGGCCCAGTATTGATGATGTAGCAAAAAACAGAGACCTTAAACTAGACTAAAGACTCAATGCAATGAACACTTCCAAGCAACAATACTTGGACTAAAGGATTATGTGACTCACTGTGTCACACTACAGCTTCCACATTGAATTTTTTTTCTTTTCTTTTAAATTTTATCTTGCTTTATCCCAGGGGAGGGGTGTGGGAAGGATAGAGAGTGGATGAGAAGGGACAGGAAAATGAGTGGAATTGAGATGCATGATGTGAAATTCACAAAGAATCAATAAAAAGTTAAACTTGAAAAAAATTAAAAAAAAAAAGAGGCCATGAATTTGAAAGAGAGCAAGTAGAGTTTATGTTCATATGGGAGAGTTTGGAGGGAGGAAAGGGAAAGGGGAAATGATTTCATTATATTATAATCTCAAAAGAGAAAAAAAATAAAAAATTCAAAATAAAGGGACATCCATTTCTTAGAACTCACTGAACATGAGGGATTTATAATTGTCTTTTTTTCTCAAATTTGAAAAAGGTATTTTTATAAATATATTATATATATAAAATATATATTTTATAAGAAAAAATAAATTATTGAGGACCCCTTCCCTTAATTCTGTTAAATGATTATTCTTGCTGGGAGGTGGTGGCACATGCCTTTAATCCCAGCACTTGGGAGGCAGAGCTAGACTGGTCTACAGTTCGAGATCCAGGACAGGCTCCAAAAGCTACAGAGAAACCCAGTCTCAGATCAAAAACCAAAAACCAACCAAACAAAAAAAAGATTATTCTTATGTTTAGTATGTGACACTATTTTTTTATGTTTATGGCTCTTATGTAAAGGCTGAACAAATTTATATAAAGTACAGGAAAAAAATCACAGAAATAGTAATCAAATTAAGCCAGTTTTCTTTTATGGATGATTCCTATTACCAGAAACCAAATCATTTATATGCCGGCAAGAGTTGCCACCAGTGTAGGTATTGACCTACAGATGACAAGGAATTCCTGCTACCTGTGTCTGGTGGGATAATAGCAGAGTTTATGTTCAGTGTACTCTGGGGTTACTTGATCTACTCACGGCAAAACTTTATCATTCACATGTTATGTTGGCATCTATTCCTTCTTTCAACATCAGAGTATCGTGACTTCTTGCTAATTAGATAAAACCTGTGCGGAGAAATAAAGTGGTGATGAGGTCTACTGTGATTGTATGTTATGGCTTTAAAAAGTGACATTATTATTGAAAAGAAATATTTATGTTAAAAATGTTTTCAGGGGCTGGAGAGATGGCTCAGCAGTTAAGAGCATTGACTTCTGTACGAGAGGACCTGAGTTCAGTTCCCAGCACCCACATGATTGCTCACAGCTGTCTGTAACTCCAGTTCCAGGGGCCCCAAAACCCTCACCCAGACATACATGTAGGCAAACACACACACACACACATACACACACACACACACACACACACACACACACACACACACACACGCCGTGGAATAATCTCTTGTACACTGTAAAGATTTGTCACTTGAATTGGTTTAATAAAATGCTGATTGGCCAGTAGCCAGGCAGGAAGTATAGATGGGGTGACCAAACTAAGGATGATGAGAAGGAGAAGAGGGGCAGAGTCAGGAGTTGCCAGCAGACACAGAGGGAGCAGGAGATGAACATGCCATGCTAATAAAGGTACCGCCATGTGACAGAGCGTAAATAAGGAATATGGGTTAACTTAAAATGTAAGAGCTAGTTAATAAGAAGCCTGAGCTATTGGCCAATCATAAGTAATATTTAGCCTTTGAGTCAATTATTTGGGAAGCGGCTGCCAGGTATTTGAGAACAGGCAGGCAGGAGAGAAATGTCTGTTTAAACACACACACACCAAACCAAAAAAAAACATTAAAAAATGTTTTGATAGAATATTGGGAAACCAAGTCTATTGTGTATCTCATTTATAAAACCAATGATGGGGGCTCTCCTGTTAGGCAGCAGAGGACAGTTGCTTGGACATAATCAAGTTCAAAGGTCATTTTTAGTACCATAGTCTCTGAAGCTTGAGCTTTCAATATTCCAAGCCAGGAGATTAGAACCCAAACAGAGATGGTCCATTGGAACATTTTTTGCTTCCGCCACAAGGTGACAGAAAACCATTCCTGCCCACCCTTCCTCCTTCTCCATTCCAGCTCCTCCCTGACTGCCTCCTTTAATCTAGCAGTCTCTGACCCAGGGGCTCACACTAGAGAACTGCCTGAATTGTTGCATGGCTTTCACAGTTAAGGAGGGTAGAAATTGCATGTTATCAAAGAAAGTGTTCTGCTGCGTGGCTCCATATGACCTAGGTTCTCAGGTAACAAGAAGTCTGGAGATAATAGTTGTCCGACTCCGTTCAGTAGCTTCGTAATGTCACTGATTCTTCATCTTTGGTTGTGCCATTCTTAAATCGGGGGGTCTTTTATCTTTTGTGTCCTTTGCTTCATAGTTTGCAAACTGGCTGTCCCACTTCTGAGAAACCACGCCTGTTACTTTAGTAACACAAGGAAGAGGGTGATGCCATCCCATCTTCTCTTGTGTTAAACAAAGGCAAACACTTTCCCACTTCTCTTCTGAGGCGCTCATCTGAGCTGTCGTGAGAAAGTGTTCACATTTTCTAGTTCTAGGTGGGCAGAGTTTGTACTGGCTGTTCGGCGTCGCCAGCTAATGCATCTGCCACAGACAGGGACAGAAAAGGTTGCTGAATCACAGTTGTTTTCATCTTCCACCCAGGGGACAGACTTCCAGGCTCTGCAGAAGAGGATGTGCCAATATCGGATGCCCAGAGGCAAGCAACTGTGATCCACAAGTCTCCCACTGAAGAAGGTCTTCAACTAGGGTAACAGCTTCCTCTGGGGCTGGATGAGGAGTCTGAAGTTATGGATAGAAAAGCTGCTCAATACCTAAGATACACGTACCTTTTTGTACTTAGAATAGTGAGAAGATAATGCACGTTTCATAATTCTAGGGAAAAATGCCTTTTATATCACTTATTGAAGCACTACACCACCATTGGGAAGTTGTGACCAAATTTGGAGATTTTTGTTTTTCTTTCAATGTCAAAGATCTTGCTGGTTTATTTTAGGGGGAAAAAAAAATCATAAACCTAAGATTAGTATGAAATCTGGCCCATTCCTCGAACAATAGAGTTTTAACGACCTGTGCTTTCTGCCTCCCAGGTGTACAGGCAAGGACTAACCCACCAGCTGTCACCCTGAAAGACTATCTGCTCTTTCAGATATTTTTCTCTTTGTTTACCAAGTGAAGAGGAGGTTAAGCCAACAGACAAAAAGTAGTTTAAAAAAATACACTGTTGTTCTATTTTATTATGAAAAAATTAGAACAAGTTCAGGGATTGAAACCTAACTGCTAGGGGCGGGAGGCCTGCTTGAGTCTTCGGGCTTCACACTGACCAGCAGCTACCCTTGTCAGTATCTCCGGGTGCCACAAAATAACCAAAAAAGAAGGAGAATATTGAAAACAATCGAATTTTTGCCCCTGAGTGTATCAGTGTTAAGGAAGGACAAAATCATGACCTCTGAGCTCAGGGAGGGGACCACCCGCCCCCTCCCTGAGCTCAGAGGGTAAGGACGGAATTTGTCAGACATTCCCTAAGAGTGGGAAGGCAGGCAAAAAGACGGCCCCCAGCTCTAATTAGCAGGCCTTATGACTCACCAAGTTGGCACAACTACTGTTCACCTAATTTCCAACGAAAACAAAATGCTGCTGGCAAGGCATGTCCAAGACCTAATGACACTTTCAAGTACACATGGTATCAATAAAATAAACCATCCACTTGGAATGACTACAGAGAATTTTGTGCTGAATAGTTCCAGCTAAGAAGAGTTAATTGTCTGAAAAGCGAGTGAAAACAAGAAGAGGTGAATTTTGAGCCACAGAAAACCATTTAAGAAATGACTTACACTTCTCAAGTTTCTGCTGCTTGTAACTTTATCCGTAAGTGATTTGCTGGTGGGCCATGTACAAACGTCTATAAAGTACGTGCTGCAGGAGAAGGAAAATGGTTCTTTAGGTTTCAGGACCATGAGGCAACACTTGATATGCCAAACAGTGGTTTTGAACCATAATCTGGCCTGCAAAACACCAGAATGTTCTGACACACGATCCACCTGAAATCAGGCCTGGCAGGGGCGAACACTGAACACCTGTAATGGATTCAAACCACCCTAAGACCTCAGAGGGCAGAAGGGCTTGAGCCCAGGAGCCCCAGACAGTGTAGTAAGATTCGGTCTCAAACAACTCAAAAAGGAAACAGGGGCTGATGAAGGAATGCTGGGTAGAATGGTAACGTTGCATCAGAGATTACATCTCAACAAGACAGAGTTCCGGCCTGCGATTGGCCATCCCAACGTCTCAGTGTCTCCCAAGAGAAAGTGGAGACCCTGTTGCCTGACCCCAAGCTCAGAGCCTGGTTTGCTAGACCACCTAACCCCTCCCTGCTTTTCCTGCTTTCTTCATCTGCACAATTCTGCCACTCAAAGCTGGAGAGATCTTATGTGCTTCTTCCAAGAACTTTTCATCTAGCAAACCCTGTGTGCACCACCGCCAATCCATTTCTTTGTAACCCCCACTTTGTTGAATGAAACATCCTTACCACTCCAGGCCTCTACTCCTGCTCAAAGGCGCTGGTTTTTATACGTGGTGCCACTCTGCCATGAGGTATTCCCCTCACCTGTGTGCTGTGCTTTATTGTGATTATTCAACTTTTTCTCTCACCAGCTCACAAATCTCACCTTTAATTTCACTACTGGATCCCTAGTGCCTATTGTTGGGCCTGCCTGGCACCTGCGAAGGGCTCATCAGATACCCGATGAGTGCACTGAACAAATACAATTCATTTTAAACTGTGTGCTCTCAAAAATGAGTAGCATGCTTACTTCTCCCCGTGACATGAATTAGGTAAAATGAAAACACAACATCATTTCAGTGCCCCGAGAAACATGTAACACGTTTTTTTATTTCATGAAAAACAGACCTCAAATTGAGTTCATAAACATTTGATTATATGACAGTTACGATGTTTTCTATAGCCTCTTCTACAACAGCTTAAACTCACAGTGTCCATTACTGCCTAGAAATGGTATAAGAGAAATGACATAAAATAGACTCATGAAACTAGACTCTGCTTCACAACTATCCCTCAATTTAAATATCTGTCTCTTACGTTTCTGCTCACTTGAGTTAAAGTTATTTGACTCCTCCTAATAGTCTCTAAAATTATATGCGCACATTTTTATTTTTGTTTATTTTTGAATCAGGTATAGATTTCTTCTTGGAGTACTTTGCCTTGTATTTGGCTAATTTATAATTTGCCCCTAAACTATGGCATTTTTAAAAGCATATCTTTTAAAAAGCAATAGCGTATGCTTTGGACTAATGACCCTAATGCAGTAGCTAGCAGTATTAAGTAGTAAAGGATGTTGGTGGTCAATGATAAGGTCCCATGGTGAAAACTGCAAGGTGCTCACCCTTGTTAGACTGAGAGCAGAGGCTGGGATGAGAAGGAAGATTGAAGATTAACAGGCAAGGTCTGAAACACTGAGGATGATTAGTAGGAAGTCTTAGAGTTGGATGTGAAATAACTAGACTAGACAGATGAGGGACAAGGGGTTCTGCACCACTAAAAGCAGACCAGCCTCCCCTCCCCCTTCACCCTGTCCTGGCTGGTTCCTTGTCAACTTGACACAAGTTTGAGTCACTTGAGAAGAGGGAACCATTACTGGGAAAATGCCCCCATCGGACTGGCCTGTATGCAAGCCTGTGGGCCATTGCACTGATTAATAATTGATTTGGGAGGACCCGACCCATTGGGGGTAATGCCACCTCTGGGTTGGTGGTCCTGGGTAGTGTAAGAAAGGCTGAGCAAGCTGTGAGGAGCAAGCCAGTTTCTTCCATGGTCTATGTTTCACTTTCTGCCTTAAGGTTCATACCTTGGGTTCCTGTCTTGGCTTCCCTCAACAGACTACGGCTTAGAATATGTAAGCCAAATAAACCCTTTACTTCCCAGCTAGCTTTTGGTCATGATCTTTATCAGAGCAATAGAAGCAAATGAAGACATCCCTCAAACCCTTGAGGGACATATGTAAGCCACCATCAGTCTCTCTTGAGGAGCATATGTAAGCCACCATCGGTCTCTCTTGCATTCTTGCTTGTTATGCAGCTAACTGTAACAGACGAAATTTTAAGGATTGCTCCCAATAAAAAAACTTCCACCTCAGAGACCTCAGACTACCCCATAGATGAGGAACTGAACACGAGAAAGACCAAAGCTACTGAAGCTTGGTGGCTGTGATAGGGCTAAGTCTCTGCCACAGTAAAACTATAAGCTGGTCACTTCATGAGGACCAAGGAAGCTTAGTTTAATTAATGGCACTGGAGACACCTGCAAGGTCAGATGGTATTAACACTGACCAAGTGACTAATAGTTACCAGTCAATAACTAACAAAGTTGGAGGAAGAGACCCACAGAGGGGAGTTTCAACCACCTCTAACTGAGTAAGCACCATGTGAACAGCTCGTGAACATCTTCCTGGCTGGCCAGGCAGGGCATGCACACAGTTTGTGATTCTTGTACGTTTTCAGCCCATGACAACACAGATTAGCCAGTTTCAGTAGAGATTACTTCAGCCTTTGTTCAGATTCTGCCTTGGCCCTATGGAAACCTCTCGACAAAGGAGTTCCATGATTTTTTTCCCTCTCCTGAAGGCCCTCCTACTCTTAGAGATTTCTCTTACTTAATGTATCACTTTTCCAGAAATCTTCTCAATAAAGTTGAATCTGCTCTGCACAGTCCCATCAGAGTCCACATCTTTAAGTTTTATTGTTGCAGGATAAGGAATTCTATTCAGGGTCCCAGACTTCTACTCTGGTCACTATATGAGTGTCCAACATCCTGGGTTGCAGCACGAATCCTAAAAGGGTCTTATTAATAAAAACGAACCTGGAGCCAGGTACTGGGGTGAACACTGAAAGATCAGAGAAACAGAACCAGCCACAGCTAACCTCACCTCGCCAACTCCTCAGCTGAGTTTGTTTCCTCAAACTGAAAGCCTCCGTCTCCTCATCTGAATGGATCTCAGCTAAACGGCTGCTAAAAGCCTAAAAGCTCTAGTTCCTGGTCCTCACACCTTATATGCCTTTCTACTTCTTGCCATCACTTCCTGGGATTAAAGGCATGTGTCACTGTGCCTGGCTGTTTCCAGTGTGGCTTTGAACTTACAGAGATCTGGGTGGATCTCTGCCTCCAGAATGCTAGGATTAAAGGTGTGCGTGCCACCATTTTCTGGCCTCTATGTCTATCTAGTGGCTGTTCTGTCCTCTGATCCCAGATAAGTTTATTAGGATGCACAATATATTGGGGGACACAATATATCACCACACTGGGTCCCTGTACATATCAACTGAATTGTAAAAGATTTCATAGCTCCCAAACCCTGAATTAGCCCAGTTCTGAAACAATTCTAGATCTATGTTCCTTTACATTCCAACTAGCTCAAGACCCCAAGTCTTAAGGGGAACCTTTAAAAAACTTGATGGAGTTACAGTAGGAAAACTCACGTGTGACAATAAAGCTTCTGGAATTCCTAAATGCATTTTTTAATAGAGGTACATTAAATTATATTGACTGGAATTTAGTAAGTTGACTCTGGCGGAAGCTAAAATAATAACCTTAAATTCATGTGACTGACTCCATTAAACTACATTCATAGACATGATATAGACACAAAACGGAAATGTCCAAGTTTCCAAAAGTCTATATTTACCCCATTTATGGCCTCACTATTGTTTGCAAAGAGATTTTGCTCCTGTTTCTTTGTAGTGCTGGGGGTGAAACCCAGGGCCTCACATACACTTGTTTAATATACCATTGGGATGTATGCCTAGCTCGACTGTCTCCTTCAGCTTTCACTTTCACTAATGACTCCTAAAAGCACACAGTTCCGGTACTGATCTCGCCATGACAATCCAACTCTTTGCCGGCCACATTTCTTGATAGATAGGTTTCCTACAGGAAGTTATTATGTAGTTTATCTCTAATCAAGTACATTAGAAGAAGTTTATGATTGGGCTCAAAGGCAAGTTTGTGTGTATGAGTGACTGTTTGCATGCTAGACAAATCAATTTTAATTTTCTATCACATTACATTAAATACTCTTTCCTATATGTTAAAATTGCTCCTTAAATTTTAGGTTTTCTGTGTTCAGAAACCCAACTTTATCATCAATCTGACATGGTGTATTCTAGTTTTGCAAATATTTCATAGTATATCGTCCTGGATTTCAGTAGCACATCTCTGGAAAGGGTAGATAGTTATAAATAAATTTTTTAAAGACAGGCCTGGAGTGGCCTTTGCCATTGCAGTTCCAACTATATGGGAGGCTGAGGCTGGAGGATTATTTGATTCCAGGAATTTAAGGCCAGTCTGGACAACACAGAAAGATCCACCTCTCAAATATGAGTAATACATAACTTTCTAAAATTTAAATCAATCTCTTTAAATAATGTTCTACTATGCTCTAAAATTACTCCAGAATAACGAGTTGGCTGACTTAGATGAATTACACACAGATTCCTGAAGGAGTAGTTTAGTTGGTTAAATTGGACTTTGCACATAAAGATGTATTTACCAAGTGAGAGGCCACTGATATTTTTATGTGAGGCAAAAGGTTTTAAATCAAGAAAAGACCCCCTGAAATGAGGTCAATTTCAGATAAATCCAAGGACTTCAGGTGTTCTACGGAGCATCTAGAAGCCAAACCCTTACCACTGAAGAGAACAATCCAAATTAAAACGTCCTAGGAGAATTAGTCGGTGGCCCTGATCCCAAGCCCTGGAGGACACTGACAACCATTGCGTGGGGTTACTGCTTCCTTCGTTCAATCCAAAGTCCCTGGGAAACCATGGTGGGCCAGGAAGGAGGCTAACAACCGGCGCCCAGATAACAGCCGAGTTGGGAGATACAAAAATGAGATCTGTCTTATTTGTTTACTCCTTTAACTGAGGAAGCAAACCCAGGTCACCTCACACGGGTGGCTACAATTTAACCTTGCTTGAAACAAAGTACCCCCGGGGTCACCCTTGCTTGACACTGGTCAGCGAGATTTCCACCCGACCAACCTTCGGCTCCCCGCGCGCCCTGGGGTGGGGGGTGGGGGTGGGGTTGGGCCGGAAGGGCGCGGCGGGGGCGGAGCAGGTGGGCTCGGGGGGGCGTGGCTCCGGGGAGGGAGGCGGGGCCAACACGGCCCGAGCCGGGAGCTCGGAGGACCTAAGAGGCGCGGCCGGGGCCACGCCCCGGGCGGGAGGGCCGCTCTGTGCGCGCCCGCCCGCTCTATGATGCTTGCGCGCGTCCCCCGCGCGCCGCGCTGCGGGCGGGGCGGGTCTCCGGGATTCCAAGGGCTCGGTTACGGAAGAAGCGCAGAGCCGGCTGGGGAGGGGGCTGGATGCGCGCGCACCCGGGGGGAGGCCGCTGCTGCCCGGAGCAGGAGGAGGGGGAGAGCGCGGCGGGCGGCAGCGGCGCTGGC